TGATGGAGCCGGGATCCCGGTACCGGGCGGGACGGTCACTGATGGAGCGGGGGATCCCGGTACCGGGCGGGGTGATCCTTGGCGTTCTGGGGGATCCTGGTGCTCGGTGTTCGGGGACATCCCGTGGGTGCCGGGCAGGACGGACCTTGGCGGTGCCCTCGGGGTGCCGGTGCAGCTTCCCGCATCTGCGGTGTCCCCGCGGCTGTCCCGGTGTCCTGCTGTCCCCGTGCCCATCCCGTGTCCCGATGTCCCAGTGCTTGTCCCGGTGCCTGTCCCGGTGCCCGGTGCTGACGGTCGCTCTGTTCCCGGTGCCTGTCCCGCTGTCCCGGTGTCCCCGTGCTTGTCCCAGTGCTCATCCCGTGTCCCCGCTGTCCCCGTGCCTGTCCCGGTGTCCCTGTACCTGTCCCGGTGCCTATCCCAGTGTCCCGGTGGCTGTCCCGCTGTCCCCATGCCCGTCCCGGTTCCCGGTGCTGACCCTTGCTCTGTTGCCCGTGCCTGTCCCACTGTCCCGGTGTCCTGTACCTGTCCCCATGCCCGTCCCGGTGTCCCGGTGCTGACCCTCTCTCTCCTCCCCGCACAGCCATGGAGGTGCAGTCCTACTACACCAAACTGCTGGGCGAGCTGAACGAGCAGCGCAAGCGGGATTTCTTCTGCGACTGCAGCATCATCGTGGAGGGCAGGATCTTCAAAGCCCACAAGAACATCCTGTTCGCCAACAGCGGCTACTTCCGAGCGCTGCTCATCCACTACATCCAGGACAGCGGCCGCCACAGCACGGCCTCGCTGGACATCGTCACCTCCGAGGCTTTCTCCGTCATCCTGGATTTCCTCTACTCGGGCAAGCTGGATCTGTGCGGGGAGAACGTCATCGAGGTGATGTCGGCCGCCAGCTACCTGCAGATGACCGACGTGGTCAACTTCTGCAAAACCTACATCAGGTCCTCGCTGGACATCTGCCGCAAAATCGAGCGGGAGGCGGTTTTCTACCAGGCTGACAGCGGGGGCTCGGCCCGGGAGGGAACCTCGTTGGGTTCCAGGAGTCAGTGCTCTGCCTCCACATCGGAGAGGATCCCCGAGTGCCAGCGGGACCCTCCGTGCGGCCACTGCAGCGCTTGCCACCCGCTGGAGCTGGTGGTCCGGGACCCCCTGAGCGGCGACTCGCCCGCTGAGACCACGCTGGCCAAAGGGCTGCAGCCCAAAGTGGAGGAGCTGGACCCCGACGAGGCGGAGGCGGAGGCGGAGGTGGAGGTGGAGGTGGAGGTGGGCGAGCGGCTGCCGCAGTACCCACAGGGCACCCCCATCTCGCTGGAGCCCATGGAGGACGGGCAGCCCGTGGAGCTGGCGTGCAACAATTACCACATGAAGCAGTTCCTGGAGGCTCTGCTGCGCAACGGCTCGGCGCAGAGGAACGACGAGGTGGTGCAGCGCCTGGTGAGGGGCTTTGAGGGGAGGGCTGAGGACCCAGGAGTGGCCGTGAGCTCCATGGTGGACATTCACAGCGACTGGTATGGCGAGGACGCAGGTGAGAGGACTCAGGTGGTGGAATTGAGAAGGGAACGGCTTGGTTTTGTTATTCCTGTTGAGGAAATGTGTTGCTGAGCGTTTTTTTTTGTTCAGGAAATATGTTGCTGAGTTATTTTGGCACCGTGAAATAAACTCTGGTTGTGCACTTGAAAAGCAGCTGTACTCGTTTGTTCGGTGCAGCCCGTTGGAGGTGAGTATTGCTGACAGCTCTGGAGATCCCAGATCACCCCAAAATCTCAATTCTGCTTTAATAAATTCATTGGGACCTCGATGAACGGCATTTTTTAAAAAGAATTTCTCTCTGTTATAAAGAGCTGCCACAAGAGGGATCTGCTGCAGGACCTGSTGTGGCAGCAGGAGCTCGTCCCACCACAGCTCCTGCCAGCTGTTTCCTCTMTCTTGGAACTTCAGAGGGCAGAAATCACTTTTATCCAGCACTGAGGGATTCCTACAAATCCTTCAGGATCAGGGAAATCTTTAAACTCTGTGGTGGAGCAGAAAGATGAGGCTTTTTTCACTTTCCAGCTGTTGGTCACTGAGGTTCTGCTGCTACCCCGGGTTGGAAAAAGCTCAGGAATATTTCCAGGCACCTGGAGAAGAATAAAATCATGCCCACGTGCATTTATCCTGAAGTGGACAATAAAAATAATTTTATCTGGTTTTTGAAAAGTGCTTTGTGAGGATGAGAGGTGGCTCTGACAAACTGCAAGTGCCACAGGTGCCCAGGATGTGACAAACGCCAGCAGACAGGGCTGGCACTGTGGCCAGCAAGTTTTATTTTCCTGTCCTGTCCAGCTCAAGCTGCCTGTGTGATCTCAAAGCCAATAAAACTSACAAATCCTCTGGCTGCTCTCAAATAAGGCAGCGCTAAAATCCCAAAATCCCATTTTAGTGTCACCAGCAGCTCTCAGAGCGGAGCTGCCACCGCTCACGCTGGTGTTTTTGGGTGCTTGGCGAGGCAGGAACCTCCAACACACCAACTTGGCTTCTCTTCTCCCTCTCCCAACATCTCCAGGCTGCTCATGAGTCATTAGAAGGGAATTGCTTCCAGAATTTGATAGGGAACATCAGGCGTCCTGACAAAATATCAGAAATGTTGGCGGGAGATGGGGTTTGAGTGGGAGTGAGGGAAAAGAAACCAAAGCTTCGTTTCCTTCTGTTGCTGTGCTAAAACAGGACGTGGTGGCACCGAGCAGAGTGGGAGTTCCTCAGCTTTCTGTGGTTCCTCAGCTTTTCCACGAGGCACCAGAAATGAGAAATGCAAAGCCCTGAGAGCAGAAAGCAGCACTGAGCTGAGATAAATTCTGCTCCTGTTCAAGTGTCCATCTCTGCTCCATCCTCCTGGTGCCCTTCACGGCAGGAGGAGGGTGAACAGGCACCTGTAGGGTTCAGAATGGGTTGGTTTGGGGTTGGAATGAAATCCTAAATGCCCAGCAGGGGTTGGCAGTGCCTTGGGAAGCTCCGGGATGGGGTGAGATGACTCTGGCTCACATCATTAATGCCAGACACGCCTTTTTTGATGGAGGGTTGGATAAATCCGACTACAAAGGGTGCTCTGCAGCCTCACCTGCTTCTGGGAGAGCTCAGGGCTTGACACACAAAACATTTCCCTGAATCAGTGCGTGGAACRGGGAAAATTAATCCTTTGGCATCACATCTCCACCTTTCTGCTGGAAGGGAARTTGGGCTGGTGCTGAAAAACTTGGCAATGCTCACGTTTCTGTAAAATGGGATCCTCAGATTTAATTCTCTTCTCGCAGCTGACTTCAGAAATCATGCATTACTTGTGGTTTGTTTTTAGGAACGGTAAAATATCATCAGGAAATACACTAAATTTCTTGTCCTTAATTTGGTGATTCCCAGTAGAAACAAGCAGTTGTATTTTCACGTTTAAATATAAAAGCACGTGGACAAAACGTGCTATTCCTGCTTCGATTTGTGTTAAAGGTTTTATTTTCTGATGCTGTTTCATGCTAATGGTTTAATAACAATTTAAATGGTTTAATAACAATTAAAATATTAAATAAATAATAAAAATGGTTCAATAACAATTTTAAAAAAAAGTGGCTGAGATGGAGCAGAGACCCCATTACACTAAAAGCAGATTTTTGATGTTTAGTTGAACATCTTGAATAAAATTAACGTGTTTTGCTGCCGTGAGCAACAGGCAGGCTGAGTTTCCAGGCACCCAGAGCTGCAGGAATTTCTGCAGAGGCACAGTCTGAGGAGATCCAGGTAAGCCAAGCTCAGGGAGAGGGGAAAGCGGAGCTCTGTCACTCTGAATTCACAGCGAGCAGGACGAGGAGCCCACCCAGCGCCCGGCTTAACCCTCCCCRTGTGTTTGTGTCCCCAAGGTGACGTGCTGGTGGTGCCCATCAAGCTGCACAAGTGCCCGTTCTGCCCCTACACGGCCAAGCAGAAGGGGATCCTGAAGCGCCACATCCGCTCGCACACCGGCGAGAGGCCGTACCCCTGCGAGACCTGCGGGAAACGCTTCACCCGCCAGGAGCACCTGCGCAGCCACGCGCTCAGCGTGAGTGCCCACACGGGGCTGGGGCAAAGTTCATTTCCAAGTTCAGTTCAAAGTTCATTTCATTTCAAAGTTCATTTC